TGGTATCAAGATTGTCTCAAGATGACTTCACGATTGAATCCGTTAGCGATCTCGTTAAAATTTGTCCCCGCGCACTACACAGGTCAGCATATTATCAAAATGGCTCCCGTCCAAAGTGAAGTTGCTGCGGCCTGTACAGTTTTGAGTATTTATCTTAAGAAGAGGCGAACACAATCGTTATGGTGCGAACAATGGCTTCTTCTGTGGGAGAATTTCACTCACAAGCACCTATTAAAGGATCTGACATTGTACTCTGCGGATTATAAACATTATTTACGTATGGACTCATATCCTGGTCTTTGAGGAATAAAATCTCTTCATAATACCATAGTCTTGGTGTGTAAATGTATTGAGTTTCAGCAACAGAAAAGTTTCTGTGTTCAACTTTATTCTGCTCCTCTCTGAATGCGCACCTTAAGTTATTACATTTTTAAATCATGCTATTCTGACAAACATTCTTCTCAGAACTTTGCACGTATTCAACTAAATTTTTGTATGCGCGGTCTCTTAGACTTTGATTACATTAATAGTCTTTATACAGGGTGCCCACTACGGCTGGATCGGCTGATCGCCCGACTTGGTCGCCTGAAACTGAAAACAAACACGTTTGTTTTTGAGGCGACCGAGTCGGGCGATCGGCCAGATCGGCCGATCCCATCCGCAGTGGGCACCCTGTATCAGATTTTATTTACCTCATACACGCATACTGTTTGTATCTTTTTAATATGAATTCGGTCTAGATCTCTCTAGCTAGCAGGCTCACACAAAGAATGATTTATTCACATTACCACATCAAACGTTTGATAGCAGTGTTTCGTGTCAAATTCCACAAGAATTTGATGCTGATGAAGATTCTCAAGTGAGATTAGCCAAATTTTGACTTTGGCACGCTTTTATTTTTAGCGTCGAGTACCCAGATCGTCGATCAGACACATAATTTTCAGACTCACTCTGAATTCAAGCGATCTCACATTTTGTTGAGATTTTTAGCTGAGCAGTCCGGATTTTGGTCTCAAAATTGTCTTAAGATCATCTTGAGATCAACTTGAGATCGCGTTCAGTTGGTCTTGAGACCGTCTCAAGACGGATGCACCCTTTTAACTACGTAGTGAGTGGCGGGCTTTACTTTGTGCAAAAGGTACTGCCCCAGTTGAAAAACGCCGTTGATGAGCAGAGACCAAAGATTAAATTGCCTTGCACAATCTCCTTTGCAATCAAGCAAATCTCCACTAAACAAGGGCCACAACTCAGTGCACGCAAGAACAAGGGATCCGGGCTTTGCCTTATCCAGCCTATTGTCCTATCTTAGCTGAACTATTACCGATCTCCATTACGAGATCTGAAAATCACACGTAGTGACAAGATCTTTCGCTTTGTACAACCCTGGTAGTATTCTGAAACAATTTCGACTTCATGGGAAGCACCCAGTGCAAGCTGCCATTTCATTGGTGCAAAAACACTAACATACTGACAAGACGATCTCGAATTACTTGACAGACTGCCAAATATCATGAGTCACCACTCGAGGGTGGGGGGGGGGGGTGATTGTAGGTTCGCAGATATGTCTCCTACGAACAGGAAAAATCGACTGTGATCATCGTAATGTGCAAACATTTTGTTGTGTGGTTGTAGGATTCAGCTTCTCCTTAAAATTTGCCGAAACAAGGACTAAAGGACGTCTCTATCTCCAACCACCCGGGCAGCGGATTAATCTTCTCTGTGACTTAAATACATTCAGGTAGAGATTCTTACACGAACAATTTGAGCCCCACGAGCTTGAGTATATAAATACAGTCTTCACAAAAAGTTAAGGACCAGTCAGGGTAATAGGTAGTATTTTCAAAAATTCATTAAAAAAAAAAGTAATCAGATTTATCTTGTAAAATTCGGTAGCAAGGCTAATGGGTCAATGGTGAATACGGTAATGGGTGGCTTTTCAGTTTCGATTGTGATGAGACATCTTTTTTGCACTTATGGATTGATGAATTAAATGTATGTCAAAGAAAGAATAATTTGATTTTCTAGTTTTTATTTTATTTTGCGCGCACTTTTGCAAGTGGTCCTTAACTTTCTGTAAAGACTGTATTAAACACCGCCTTGCTTTCACATTTCCGAGCCCGCTTGTAGATTTCCTCCAAAGACCACCGAGGCGTCTCCGCGTGAATTTTGAAAAGTCCTCACCATAATTTGTTATTCTTTCCCTCAACGCTCAACGTCCGAGAGTGGGCAAACGCAGCCCATGTTCGTTTATGTGTGTGACGTCACTGTCACACGCTCGAAAACAATATATTCCTTCTTTGGGTCCAGCGCACACAAGGAACAATTCCGCTCGTATCACGGCTGTGAAGTATGACGTCACTTGGCGGTGAAGAGACGGACGAGAGAACATTGACTCATTGGCATATTCGAAACCGTGCGATCAGTGGAAATTAATTTATCTAGTCTAACTTTGACTCTGGGTGTGCAAAGAGGCATGAGTGAAAGACTGCATCACCTAGTCCTTTAAGCTTTCATGAACTATTGTTTGCTGTGTGCTTGTTTTGTTTTGGTGACCGGTTTTTTTTTTTGGGGGGGGGGGGGGGTAAGTGTTTTACGGCGCTCCCAACAGCATAAGGTCATATGAGCGCGCGGGACACATTAAACATTTTCATTTGGTAGGAAATTTTTAATTTTGCCCGGGTGGCGGCCGAAGCCTACTCTTATCGATTTGTAGACCACCAAGGCATCTTGCGCAACATGCGAAAACGGAAATGGCTTTTATAAAAACCACCTGTAAATGCAAAATGCACCAATTAAAAAGATCCTGTAAGGAAAGTCATGAAATGATTGGTTTGTTTTTTCCTGTCCTTTTATTTTTAAAATCTAATCTTTCCATCCCTGTAACTTAAAAAAAATAATTTTTTCCTACGGAGCTAAACAATTTTTTTTTTAAATTCTTGAATTCAGAGAGCCAATAGTCTATTTGCCCTCCTTTAGACTCGACACAATTTAACGCATCGTTCGTAATGCTCAGTGTTGGCCAAACACAAGGATCCACTCCAAGCTACACACACTGTACACCTAACAGTATGGAGTTGTTTCTAGAGACCATGGGGGAGGGGGGTGCCCAAATAGATAGAATTTGTCGAGTTGACATAACCTGAAAGGTGAATATGGGCTTTGGACTGACGTCTCATGGGATTCATCTGCTGAATTCTGCAGACGTTTTAAGGAATGCAAACAGTGTGTGTTTGACTTGAAGTGGTCGTTTTGTCTGGGAATGTTTAGTTCTGATTCTCTACAGGTCCTAACTGATGGACCATTTTCCACCCTTGACATCATAGAAGGCCTTAAAATAAGGGGCACTTTAACATTATTTCCGTACCTTGTGCAAAACTTATGAAACGAGTTGGTGGTGAGGAAATGTAGAATACAAAAAGCTTTCTGCTCTTTACTAATCTTAACCATGATGTCAGTAGGCAAAGGAAACTTGAGAAAAACTATCTGCAAACTTCTGTCAGCCTGTTAGACTACTGTGGTTTGCCATATGCCGCAATCGCTGAGACTTCTTTTTTCATGTAGTGGTAGGCCAAATGTGAACTAGTGCGCCATGCTACAAAAAATGGTGCGTGACATAGCTGAAAATGGGTTTGATTTTTTAAGGCGCTATGTAGAGCAAACTTATTCATGGATCAATCTAAAATGAATATCAGACAAATTCCTTTTGACTTCCAAATGTTGGGTACAAATTTGAAACGTAAAACTTCAGTTAGGAGGAAAATATTAACACAAAAAGTTGTAATATTGATTTTTTAAATTTTGATAACCATGTATTAAAAAGAAATGGAAAATTCCGATGCAGACACAAAAACACAACCCCAAAACCTGCTTAATTATTTGTCTAGTTGCTTACTCATCTTGGCCCAGCCGTTTAAGGACAAATATTAACAATATCACTACCATAGTTTGAGACTAGGCGCAAAATTTTGGAACTTTTGGTGATACTGTAGAGACGACTCCACTCTTGAGCGGGAAAGAGGGTGCCGCCTCATACCTCGACAGGGCAGAGGAAGGTAGGACTAATATGTTTTGAACAATTAACTACTAACCAGTTGCTGTAACACTTTCCGGTTAGAGCTATTGTTACACTTAGACGTGTACTTTACTGATGAACGTTATGAAAATGAAGTACCATGATGCAATATTATCATCATCATCCAGTGCCAGATCTGCGACAGACATCGGCGATCATGGTTTTCCATTCATTCCTTTGCTCGGATGCTCTAAAAAAAGCTATGTTTCCCTGATCTTTCCCTGTTACCAATTTGTTTAGGTTCCCTAAGTTTGTTGTTCTGGGCCTACCTCTGCCTCACTTGCCCTCAATTTTGCCAGTGAGAGCTAGATGTTCATGACCCTTATGTCTATTCAGGTGTCCCAAAAACTGCATTTGTCGTTTCCTGATTGTTTTTAACATTGAGAGTCCCACGTTGGCTTCATCAAGCACTACCTCATTTGATTTCTTTTCCTTCCACGATACTCTTAGCAGTCTCCTAAGAAACCACATTTCTGTTGCTTCTATTTTATAAAAGAATAAAGTAGATTGCATATATATATATATATATATATATATATATATATATATATATATATATATATATGTGTGTGTGCGCGTGCGTGCGTGTGTGTGTGTGTGTGTGTGTGTGTGTGTGTGTGTGTGTGTGTGTGTGTGTGTGTGTGTGTGTGTGTGTATAACATTTCTCTAGTGGGTGTACACTAATTCTAACAGTTGATTTTAAAATACACATTTTTCGCTGTTGTTGTTTCTGCTCAACATAATAATGCCAGTTGATAGAAATCAGCAGGGTCAATTTTTAAAAAAACCAACCCCCAAGAGCAAACAGGTTTAAACTGATAAAGAACGTGTAGGCTAGCGTATTAAAATTAGACCAAAGCAGACCCGCAGCTAAATTTAGCACGCAGGGCTTCACTTGACGAATAATAGCTTGAGCGATTGCACCACCAACAGAAAACTACGTGGGAAGATAACTTGACTATAAAAGCAGTTAGGTCCACCACAGTTAAAAAACTAAACTAACAGGTTCCCATCTGAGGAGGAGCAGACAGAAAAACCGTTGTAGAAAAATTCTTTCAGGTGAAGACAATGGTTTACAAAGTCTGCAAGGGTGGAGTGAGGTCTGGGAACACCCTCCGAGGGCTCCACACCCTCAACTCTTACAGGTAAGCAGAATTTATAACAAGTGTATAATATCATTGTAATACAGCATTCATGGTTTTCGTTGGCAAGTTATTCAGATGCATTAATCCCAAAGTTTTGAAGGGCGCTCTCGTGGCCTAGAGGTTAAGGTGTTGGCCTCTCATTCAAAGGTCCCGGGTTCGAATCCGGTCTGCTTTCATTTCCACTTTCTGCCCCCACCCCTTCACCTCCTTTGCCCCTCCTCTGGGCTCCTGACTCTTTCTGCAGCCTTTCTATTGCTACTCCTTGGCTCCTCCTTACTGCTGTCTTTCTGCCACACCCCTGATCTTCTGGTAGGAAAGATCTACACCTAGCCTTCTCGGACAAGGGCGAAAAATCTCGGAGGGCCCGTGTGCAAGTTGCGCACGTTAAAGATCCCTTGGTGGTCTAAAATCGATAAGAGTAGGCTTCGGCCGCCACCTGGCCAAAATTCATAATTCAAAATTTCCAACCAACTGAAAATATTAGGAGTGTTGCAAGCGCCGTAAAACACTTTACAAAAACAAAAACAAACAAAACAATTTTTGAAAACTTTTCTTAATTGCAGTTTGGTTAGGGTTGTATGTGCCCAAGAAATGTTTTGTCGGAAGTCAAATTCTAAATGCGGAAAAAGAAGAAAAGACACATTTCATCTCGTAGATCTAGTTAGAATGTTTAAAAAGAATGAATCCGTTTTTTTTCCTCTGGCCTTGTAAAAAGGATAATGATGAATTTTTAAATTTATAATAATTTACAAACTAAAAATAACTCTAAAGTCTCCTTCTGTGAACAATAAAAACGCCCGAACCTTGGTCTCATTCTTTTCCGTGACTCATGACTCTTTTAAATAGAGGTTGTTTATGATATATTATGTCACATCATAGTTATCATTCGGATTTTTCTGACTTTGCTCCAGCTCCCGTTAGTGCTGCTGCTGCTCACGATGTGCTGGCAGTGGTGGTGGTGGTGTTGGTGGTGGTGATGATGATGATGATGATGATGATGATGATGATGATGATGATGACAATGATGACGATGATGATGATGTATGTTCCTGATGAAACCCGTGATCGGGCGAAACTTTGAACGTATATACAATAATTTTGGAAATTCTACAAGTCTCACCCTTTTTTATTCTCTGCTGTTTACGATGATGATGATGATGATGATGGTGATGATGATGAGGATGATGATGATGATGAACAGGCGGAGGCGGAGTACGACAACAACGACAGCGACGACGAAGAAGAAGAGAGAGAGGATGAGTAGTAGAAGGAGGGAAGGAGGAGGATCAATTGGAAATGAATGTTTTGCTTCTCTTGATGACGTAAAGAAATATCCATAAGAAAATTTTAATATATGCGCTGCTCTGATACTTTTTCTCACACTGTGGTCATACACTGAATGATGAGAAAGGCATACACTTGTATTCAAGAAGGTTAAAAACAGTATTTTCTTTTTTCTTTTTCATCAGATACGGACGCCATGCCTGCCTCATCGGCAGTTCCAGCATGACAAGCCGTGACGTCGCCAAAATGGTGACATCAAGCACAGACGATGCCATGGTTACGGAAACCGTCCAGAATACTGACGTAATTTTGTCCCTCAACAAGAAGCAGAGATGGAAACTCCCAGCTACAATGCATCACATGATTCGTACTGGCTGCTTTGACCGAGGTGCTATGGTATCTGTCCTGGAAAGACACAAGCTCAAGAGACGAGCCAACTGTGTCAGTTTTATCAGCAACAAGGGAAAGGTCACCTCGGTGCAGCCCACCCAGAAGCGATATTTCTCCTTCAAATTGGATAACATTGACGAGGAACAATCCAACAGGCAAAAGAAGAGGCAGTTGCGTAAAGCGAAGATCCCGACGACAGAGCCAAGGGAAATTAAAGACAAGCGTTCTTTTTGGAAAACAGTCCAAGTCTTTACAAAGGCAGGAGAAACCCCTAAAAATGAAGATGTAAACAATATATTGTCTAGCACTAAACCAGAATACAGAATGGAAATCTTTTATCCGTGTCCAAAGACCTGCTCTTTGGCCTTCAACCCCAAGTACACTGACGTCATGATAGATGTCAACGAGGAGGGCAAGCAAGAGATTAAAGCAGTGAAAAGTCCGGGCAGCAAAAAGCCCAGACGGCGTCATAGAAAAAGACTGACCACGTCTACTTGGGTCAAGCTGGGAATGGAAGAAGTTGAAGAAGACCTTAATCAGATGTGGGACGAGGTATATCAAGAAGACTGTTCTCCCATCGTTGGCTCTGGAGTCACAGCGGATGAGAAGGCAGAAACTAAGACTGACATATCTGAAGCACAGAATTTCGATGTTCGTTCCAAACACAATGGCAACAATATTGAAAATCTTTGGTCTTCGCTGATTGCCCAGGCTGAGAAAGCAAGAGAGCTATGTACACAGAGAGCTGACAGCCCTCAGAAAAGGCCGGTCAGAAGACCACCAGCAACGTCTTTTGACAAGGAAGAATTGAAACCGCACTTAAAGGCATTGCCAGACGGTAATGAATTCAGGCCACCGCCAATGTGGCCAATACTCAGGAGACGATGGAGAAATAAAGCACGACAACCCGTGAAAAAACCACGCGTGAGACGAAAACCTGTGAAACAACAACCCGTGGAACAACAACCTGAAGAACAAACGGAAACGAAGAGAATCCCTGAGTGCGTAGACTTGCTTTCTTTCAGAATCATCGCTTCTTCCAAAGAAACGTGCCTCGAAGACCTCCAGAATAAGTTCGGACACCTGTATGCAGAGGCTGAGTGCCAACCACGCACATTTGTAATAAATGTAAGTGACGATGTAAAAAACATTTTCAAGTCTTCACGAACTGAAAGTAAGAATTCTGCTTTCATTTCCTATCTCGTATTCACTTACGAAGGTCCATACGACGATGGACTCGACTCCTATAAAGTTGCTTTCAACTCGAATGTTTGCAAAAACACAGAGCACATGCAGAAAAACATACCGTTCCTCACATTTTCCATTGATGATGTCATCAATCAAGTTCTTGAAATTCTCTTGGGCAAGAAAAGTGATAATCTATTGAAATTTACGAAAAGATCATTCGAAAGTGACAATACACATGATTTATTTCGATTCATCTACGAAAAACTTCAGGTAAAAGTGGAAAGCTTCTACCCCAGCCAAGAGATCAACAAACTTCGGTTTACAGAACTGGAGCAGAACATAGACTTATTTTCCATGACCCTGAGTCAGCTAGGGTCCTCTGGGGAAGACTTCGACATTTTCTGTCAAATTTGTTACGAGAGTGTGACTCCAAGTCACGTGGACAGTCTCCCGGGTACGGCACTGACGAAATGCGGTCATGTCTTCTGCAACAACTGTTGGAAAACTCACATTCGAACCAGACTGACAGACGGAGCGGTCAAAATCTTGTGTCCCGGATATGACTGTGACGTCACTGTAGGTCCAGTGACTCTCCTTTCTCTCGTTCACGTGTCAGAAGTTGCTCAGCTGCTGCAGCGACAGAAAGAGGATGAAGTGGAGACATCAGAAGACTCTAAGTGGTGCCCCAACCCGATATGTGGCCGTGTTATCAAGACGGAGGCCAAAGCCATAACCCCTGATATGTCATACGACGTGAGATGTGCTTGTGGATTCAGAGTCTGTTTTGCTTGCCTCGGTTCTGCCCACTGGCCTGCACATTGTGAACAGGCTGACGAGTACACAGGCAGATTGTACGATATATCGCTACCGAAAGAAATGGAAGACGACCCCACAGAAATCACACCCTCTCCTGTTCAACCTAAGCCAAAGGAGAAGCCTGGTGCCATGCGTATTGAAGGAAGACTGTGCCCAAGATGCCTGAGGTTCATCGAAAAGAAAGGCGGTTGTCCACATATGTATTGTAAATGTGGGCATCAATTTTGCTGGACGTGTCTAGCTTCGGCTGATAACCACATTGTCTGCAAACCTGATTTTGCATACCTGTACAAAATGACCAGGACATTGCTAGTGAGGCATGTGCCACGCCAGGCTATGGTTCAACCCTTAGGAGTCGGAGCAACGCCAGAGGAACCAAGAAGGACCTGTGGTGGCAGGAGCCGATTTTCCATGTACCAGCGAGCGCTGCAGCAGAGACTTGAGGGAAATCATCATCTTTCGACAATGAAGATCAAAGCCCTGGCCCATGCGATCGCTACTGCAGCCTCCAAAGACGATGAATTGAAGACAGAGTTTCTGGCTCTGCTCGATGTGGACCAGAACAGTAGCACTGGTGACGATGAATCCGTCTTCTCCACCACCAAGCACGTGACAAGGTTCCTCCACTCTTGTCGAGCAAGCAGAAGCGCACTGCATCATGTGGCCGAGTTCACCTTCGTGTTGGTCCACGACGTTCCCCAATCGGCGGACAGGCGCCGGGCTCTGGCCTTGGCCAACGACATTTCTGGCTATTCCAGCTTTATTCGCTCCATCCTGGAGGGCGGTGTGCCCCAGCAGCCTCTGACAGTGGTCAAACGATTGCTGGACATTCAGATGTGGATCAGACGAGCTGTGGGCGCCCTGCTGAAAACTGCCAACAAGCTCAAAGCCTCATAACTTTTTTAGTGTAGGAGTTTGGAAGCAAAAATACTAATTGAAATCCTCCCTTCTCATCCACATTAACACTCACACATACGCACTCACTCGTATTTTAGAATAGAAAAAAACTTTATGTTGACTAGGTTATATGCTTCCCTCCCCCTTCCCCACCATTTTCCCTCTGTCCATCTCTCTCTCTCTCTCTCTCTCTCTCTCTCTCTCTCTCTCTCCCTCTCTCTCTCTCCCTCTCTCTCTTGCTTTTATCTGTCTGTCTGTCTGTCTGTCTGTCTGTCTGTCTGTCTGTCTGTCTCTCTCTCCCACTCATACATACACATATACAACGGATGACATAATGATTATGCAGAGAGACTTGCAGATGCTGTGAAAATGTGAGCCCACAAGTAGATTGATTAATTGCTCTGTGGTACAGACTCGTTGTCACACACCAGTAGCCTACTCAAATATTAAAACTATTTTTTTTCATTTTTTCTTTCTTGTAACAAGAATAGTTTTCAGCCACAGCAAACACACACAAACACACACACACACACACACACACACACACACACACACACAGGTACACTGACATCCATTCATTAAAAACTGTTTTGCTCGTACACTTAAAGTAAACACCTACACCGAAATATGGAAATGCCATGAACATGTACAGTTTGTATTAATAAAAAGTTGATGTATCCATTTACAATGTCTTTTGTCCTGTGCAGGGTGCTGAAAATGAGAATAAATAAAAATGGAACATAATTATTTTTTAAAAACGTATTATTAAAAACAAAAACTTGCACTGGCTGAAATATAGCAGTAAGAAGGAGCCAGGGAGTAGCAGTAGAAAAGCTGCAGAAAGAGTCAGGAGCCAAGAGGAGGGAACAAAGGAGGCGAGAGGGTGGGGGCAGAAAGTGGAGGTGAAAGCAGACGACAAAACATTGCTAGAGAGCAGGAAAGAAGGGGAAAGAAGACAATATTTAGAGAAGAAAAATGTCCGTCGCTATCCAGGTTCGAACCAGGAACCTATTGAATGAGAGGCGAACACCTTAACCTCTAGGCCACAAGAGCCCCACCCTCCCTGTATGCTTGTTTTTCTGCATCACTTATAAAGCATGAATACAAAATATATTATCTAGGCTCTACAGCATGCTCAGTAATACACCCAGCAGACTTTAAATTATCCACAAAAATTCGGCTTAAGGGAAATCATACTGTACAATCATCTGATTATGCACTCAGATACTAACATCTTTTCCCATCCCCACCCAGGTACCTGTTCCCACATGGGTATAGTGAGGAACATTTCTGTAAAGTGTCTTTCCCAAGGACACGACATCGGATCAAGCTGAGCCTCGAACTCGCATCCTCTCAGGAAAAGTCTAACCTCTAATTTTTTTTTTATAGTAGAGGGTTTTACAGCGCTCGCAACTGCATAAGGTCATATGAGCGCCAAGGGGTGGGTGTCAAAAGAGAAGTCTTTACAGGGAATCAGACTTAGACTGCTCACCTCTCTAGCTTCAACAGCACAAGGTCTGCTTCGACTATCAAGGCACCCCGGAAATAGCGGGTCACAAGAGTGTGACAAACATGCAAAAGAAGTAGAGGAAAATGACAATAGTAAAGATCAAGAAAAAAAAAGCAGCAGTTCCCTGTTGTAGATCAGGCACAGTTAAGAGCGTGAAATGAGTCAGCCCATTTACAATTTTACTATGCTTGAACGAGAAATGTCCCCCCTTTGGGAATGGCCTAAAGACACTACAGTCAGTGGCACTTCCCCGGTGAGTAATCTCTAAATACTACCGACACTATTACATGGGCATCTAAAGAATAAACTGTGAGTGGGTGGTTGACGGGTGCTCTGGTGGGGTTTGCTCCTTCTTTTCTCTCAAAATATCTATCATCCTAATCTCTCCTCCTCCTTTATTGCGTTTATTGTAACACCTCAAATTTTCGAAACTTATACGATCTTCTTTTGTTGCCGTAAAACCCTTACTAAAAACCAAAGTTTTCGAGTTTGTGTGTGAACAAAGTGTGGAGCATATTGTGAGCTTGGTCGATACCGTGGCAGACTAGGATGCCGATGGTCTTGATTAGAATTTCAAAAGGGGCATGCCTTCTTTGAAAGCAGTGTTTGCAGTGGAAGACAAAAATTTCCAGAAACCATCTCGGTACCAAAATTAATTTTAAAAATAAAATAAAAGAAAGAAAGATATAGGTATTTTTTTCACTCCCGTCGACACAATATGTGAGGCAGCGTGGTGGAATCAGACTCTCGTCAATTTTTGAGCATATTGAGTTATTGGTATCATCTTAAAGCTTGTTCATTTGTCTTGTTTTCAATTACAAAATTACCCATCCGTCTTCAATAGAAGTGGAGATATTTTGGATTGAAGGAGGTGGAGGTCACCTGGTTTAGGAGGTAAAATTAGAGAGAAATGGTCGTCAAACCTGGACAATTCCAAAGCTGGAGAGTCCATTAATTGAAACTATCAATTTATATTTTTGTGTTTTTAATCAACTTTTTTTCAGTGAAACCCTCAAAGAAATTTGTAAATGGACATAAAAGGTGTTGAGCCAAAAAACAAAAATTAGATAAAAATTGCTAAGCAGGGAGAAAACTGCTGATTTCTTTGATTTCATTATTTTGACGAGCGCCTGATTACACCACGATGCCTCACAATATTACAGATCATTTAGAAGGAGGGCTGCCTGTCAGGGCCAACCCGAGCAGAAAGCGATACAACATCCCAGCAGAAAGAACGAGGTAATAGATAAAAATGGTCGCTTTTAAGCACAAGGAGGCTATCCCAAAAAATGCTGTTCTGAGAAAATCGAGGGCAAAGTTTTTGCCCCTTGTTCAGTTTCTTTAAAATTAAATACAAGAAGAGTTTTCTCTATAACCAAACAAATATACACACAACTGAAACCAAACTTCTCCGATGGGTAGGGCAATGCCTACTTTTGGTGTAGGTCAAGATTTCAGGAAACCCCCGAAATCTGGGTTAGCCTGCTTGTCCTCAAAAGCGACCAAATGTTCTCCTCCCTCGGTAATCAAGCTTGAGTCTCCTGTGTGCGACAACAATGCACCTCGCTGCAACACCACAGACTCTCCCCTTGTCGGGTATCAGCGTTGGTCAAGGGAGATTAAAGAGGGAAACTAATTAGAAACTGTTGTTTTACAGAGTTACTTCCCTTATTGAGTGCCGTCTGAATGTGGGGGTGAAATAAATGACCCTGCGGTAATCGCTGTGGTGTTTGAATACGAGGAAAGGGGGAAGGGGGGAGGTTACTTTATTTTTACGCTGAGATGCAGTTTCTTTCCTGTTGTGATCACACATGTAATTGGTAAAACGGGGAAAATTGTAGATAGACCAAACCACTGACAATAAGTTGTCCTCTTCTTCTTCGTCTTCGTCTTCGTCTTCTTCTTCTTCTTCTTCTTCTTCTTCTTCTTCTTCTTCTTCTTCTTCTTCATTTGACTACCGTCGCACTGGGAGGCTGGCCTATAGGATGAGAACTCAGTGCAGCTGTCCAGTGGACCTGATCCCAAGGTCCCCACAGCAGTTTCTCTTCAGTCTGAGGGGATGTTTCGGCAGCCCCAAAAGTGCCATTTTGGCTTCAGTCAACCAGGGTTATGAAGAAGTCGGCAAGACTTATAAGAGCTGTTACAAAACACCATTGAGCATTAGGTAATGTCAGTGCTAAGAAAAAACATAGTGTAATATCACAAAGAAGTAGAATCTAGAAAAAAAGACGACGTTCAAACAAGAGTACCCACGCACTACCATCTATTCACGAACTGAAACAACAGAGCGTTTTCGATGTAAATGGTGAGGGAGAGCCAATTGGGAAATGGTTAGGCTCTTCGCCTGGTTTGCAAGAAGACGTGAGTTTGATTCCTTTGCTGGGACTAGATCTATGTTTTATTGGTTATCCTTCTGTCTTTCCGCTTACTGCGTCTCACACAGTCTGGTTTGTCAGTAGCGGTCCAACAGCCTGTTTCTTTATCTTTGTCTTTTATTGTTTTAGAAAGTGTTTTATGGCACACGCAACGCAATTAGGTCATAATATAAGCGCCGAAGATTAGAAGAGTAATCCGTTATAAGAGAGCAACAAGCATAAACACACACACACACACACACACACACACACACACACACACACACACACACACACACACACACACACACACACACACACACACACACACACTCACAAAAGAAGCATAGCTATAGATGGTTGATAGAAAAGAAGGTGTAAACCACACCAGAGCATCCACCAACCACCCAATTACACCCACATCACTTTTTTTTCTCTCCCTTCCCCCCTGCTTTCCACTCTCCTCTCGTCCGTTCTGCTCCACCTCTTGGCGGACAAGACAGAGGCCTCGTAGTATAGGATAGCAGTCGACAACATCACCATATATGAGGCAGCGAGGTGGAATCAGGCTCTCGTCAAAATAAGCAAAGTGAAGAAACTTGCATTTTTCCATTGGTTTGTGAATTTTTATCAAATTTTATTTTTTTTGCTCGACACCTTTCATGCCCATTAAAGAACTAATTTCTGAGTGGAATTTTCTGAAAAACGTTATTTAAAGGCACACAAAAATGTACATTTTAAGTTACCACGGACTCTTAAGCTAAGGAAATAACAAATCTTTGGCGGCCATTTTCTCAAGGTGCCCCCACCTCCTACATTTGCAAATATCTCGACTTGTATTCATGGTATATGGATTTTTTTTCATCGAAAAAATAAAAAATAAAAATAAACAAAGACAAGTGAACAATCTTTAAGCTGACGATACCAATAACTCTATATGCTCAAAAATTGACGAGAGACTGATTCCACCACGCTGGCTCACATATCAGAGTCTGACGACACACTTTCGGAATCTTTACATTAAAAGCATCTTTTTTTCAGACGGTTTACGCCCCCATCAACACTATTTAAATCATTTAGGACTCGGGCTGGTTCGACCCTGTCTGTAAGGGCCAACCTGGGCTGAGAGGGATGCAGCGCAGAAAGACCTATAATATGCTCCCGTATCCCTATCCGTACGTCGTGTTTTACTATCGTATCCATACGACGTGGGGAACTCTGTACGTGCCACCACTTTCAAAGAGTAAATTTACTCGTTAATCGGATCCGTACGC